CTGAGTCCTTGCGGAATCTGAGAGTGGGCGGCTCTTGTTTTGTGTCGGCAGCCAGCATGGTCCGTCGGAAGACTCCCAGGAGCCGTGCCAGTATTCCCTGGAGTCCCAGAAGTTCTCCTGCCAGCTGGCCGTCCCCGAGGGAGACAACTCTTTCTACATCGTGTCCCTGTGCGTCGCCAACAGTGCTGGCGGCCAGTCCAGCAGACCCCACACATTTGAGGGTTACGGAATCCGTACGTAAGCTCTCCCAGGCCTCCTCGGCCCCTTCCAGCTGTTTCCCTCTTGGGCTTCTCTGAGGGGCAGGGAGGGGCTGGGCGAAGGTTTGGTGAGCTGGGCCTTTGGGGCTTCACTTGACAAAAGGTCAGGCTGTGGCTGACCAGGGGAGCGGGGGAAGTGCTCGGGCTGGGGTGGCGTCCTGCTGTGGGGGTTTGCACAGCCTGGCGGGGGGGCGGGTGTCTTTCCTCGGCACCACGGTTGCCGCTACACAAGAGCATCCTTTTCCCACAGTGCAACCTGACCCACCCGTCAACATCACGGTCACCGCCGTGGACCGAAACCCCCGCTGGCTCACTGTCACCTGGCGAGACCCGCCCTCCTGGAACTCATATTTCTACAGGCTGCAGTTCGAGCTGCGATACCGGGCGGAACGGTCCAAGACATTCACCACGTGCATGGTAACTTCTCTTACTTCTGGATAGAAAAGTGCCCCTGGCTACTCAGGGGCAGTAGAAAGGCTGCTAGAAGAAAGCAGCGGGTTCTGGGCCCTGTTCCCCACTCACCACCTGCGTGGCTCTGGAGGAGTCTCTGAGCCTTTCTGAAATGGCAGCATCGCCTATAAAAGGGAAATGAAAACCTCCCCGTGTAGGCCTACTGGTGAGCGTGGGAGTGACCTGGGAGGCGAGTGGGGCTGTGAGCATGTCGGGGCGTGGCCGGCAGGATTCCACGGTGCACGCGGGTGGGACAGTGACTTCCAGCTTCTGCCTGTGTTGGCCCAGAGGGCACCCGTGTTTCTGAGCTGCTGGGATGATGGCAGCCCTTGGAGAAGCTATGCCCAGCTGGGTCGCCCCCTAGACCCGAGAGAGGGAGGGCTGAAGGGCAGGGCAGCCAAGGGCATCGTGTCCCTGTGGGGAGTAACGTGCCTCTGCCCTCAGGTCAAGGAGCTGCAGTATCGCTGCACCATCCGTGATGCCTGGAGTGGCATGAGGCACGTGGTGCAGCTGCGCGCCCGGGAGGAATTTGGGCACGGCCTGTGGAGCGAGTGGAGCCAGGAGGTCCTGGGCACCCCCTGGACAGGTAGGTGCTGGTGGGCACGGAAGGGATGTTTCAGCGTTGCTGCTGTATCATCAGTTACCTGTTGCTATATAACAAGTCACCCCCAAACTCGGGGTAAAACCAACCATTTATCTGCTCAGGATTTTGGAAATGAGTCAGCGAGGCAGCGCTCGTGTTGGTCTTGCCTGAGACAGTACATGAGGTTGCATCAGGCCTGCAGGACCCTAGGGGGCCTCACTCACATGCCTGACGGTTGGTGCCGGCAGGTGGCTGGGGCCCTGGGTTCTTCCCCAAAGCCTGGCCCCTTCCAGGAGGCCAGCCCAGACTCAAAGAGGGGAAATCATTTCACAACTTGATGGCAGCAGCCGCAAAGAATTTGTAGCTATATTTAACTTACCACGGTTACTAATGCTTCTTATTTAAAAAAGAAAAAAAAAAAAGATGTTAAAGGCCCTGGCCAGTGTGGCTCAGTTGGTTGGGCGTCATCCCATGCACCAGAAGGTGGCTGGTTCAATTACAGGTCAGGGCACGTGCCCAGGTTTTGTAGGGGGCGTGCAGGACGCAGACAGTTGATGTTCCGCTCTCACATCGATGCTTCTCTCTCTCCCTCTCCCTTCCTCTCTCTCTAAAAATAAAAAAAATATATTTAAAAATAAGTAAATAACAAAAAAAGATGTTAAAGGTAGTAATAATTGGCTCTGAGGAATGATTGAAATAAGTGTGTTATAGAACATGAAAAATTCCAGAAAAATATGAAGAATAATTATCAATGGTATATCTTCCCAGCTAGAGAAAACCAGTGAGAACATTTTAGTATACTTCTTTCCTGTGTGTGTGTGTATTTTCTATATGTTATATATATATATAGTATATAAAATATTGTGAGCATTTCCATGTTATTAAATGTTACTCAATATTTTTGGAAATGTATTATTTAGTAATTGCATGATTAATTTTTTTTTTTAACCCATGGGAATTTTTTTAATTTTTATTTCTTAAAGTATTACAAAGAGTATTACACCTGTCTCCTTTTTTCTCCCCCTTGACATTCCCCCGGCTTCTCCCACCCCCCAGTGTCTTGTGTCCATTAGTTATTCTCATATGCATGCATATAAGTCCTTCGGTTGATCTCCTACTCCCCCCAACCCTCCCCAGGGTTCCCACTGTAGTTTGACATTCTGCTCAATGCTGCTCTGCCTCTGTATCCATTTTTGTTCATCAATCTATAATGTTTCTTATTATCCATAAATGAGTGAGTTCATGTGGTATTTTTCTCAGCTTCCCAGGGGCCGTCTCAGTCTCACAGGGGCCA